CCACTTAAAATCAGCCCAGCTTTCTCAAGTTCCTAAATCAGGGGACAGCCTGATTCCTGCCTCCGGATATGGATTATCTCCTGTCAGTTTAACTCAGGGTCCTTCCACACAGTCATGTAATCCAGAATATCAAAGCAAATAATCCACAATATCTGCATTGAAGTGGATTGTATGAGTACACACTGCCATATAATCTAGTTCAATGTGGATTTTCTACAGCTGTGTGGAAAAGGTCTCAGAGGAAAGTTGCATTAAGTGGCTTCCCCTGAGTTAATCCAGCTCAACTCAAGTTAATCCAGATCAAACCCAATGCAGCCACTGCAAGGCTGATCACAGACCACACTAGGGGCCCTTCCACATAGCCATATAACCCCAGAATATCAAGGCAGAAAATCCCACAATATCTGCTTTGAACTGGGTTATCTGAGTCCCCACTGCCATATATTCCAGTTCAAAGCAGATAATGTGGGATTTTATTCAGCTGTGTGGCAGGGGCCTAAGTGGTCGGTGTAGATACTGTGGAGCTCACTTTGAGTAGCTGGCCATTTGTGGCCACATCTGTTGGTGGCAGAATAGGGCACCTGCATAACCAACAAGAATTGCTAGTCACACAGGTGTCCTGTTTGACATTAGTAGATGAGGCCATGATGACCAGGCATTTGAACAAAGCTCCATAGCTGGTAGGGAGTGACAATCCACATTAGACTCAGTTCAGTTGTCCAAACTGCCACAAAGGCCAGGGAAATTATGGGTTTTCTAGCAAATGCCAGAGTGTTTTCCAATATTGGCAGAAGGTGGGTAAAGGCAGTCATCAGTGAATTCATTGTGAATTTGGGGTTGTTGGCCAGCATAGACAAGTCCTATTGCTCATATCTCTGACCCAAGTACATCAAAGTCCTACCATTTAAACTAAATGTAGTGCCATAACTTCAGCAAGACTAATCAGCCTAAAGCAATATTTCCAGTTTAACTAGGATCATTTTGAACTACCAATATGATGTTGTTGATAGCTGTAACTAACACAGTATCAATGAGAATTGAGCCACCTAGTCTTTGCTGTTGTTGTAAAATGTGGAATTTTGGTTGCTAAGTGTAGTGGTTATTGACTGTGTATCTTGGTATCAAATTGGCCTTTAGAGACAATCCTTCAAATACTGATTGAGATTCTATTGCCCCCTAGAGAATAAGACCATTGCAAATGGGATACTGCTCCTGTTGAAGGAAATGGTGAAACTCCCATTGCTCTTAATGAATTTCAGGCTAAATAGGTAATTCTTTGGCAGCTTTAGTTGGTTACACAATGTTGTATTTTCAGCCTGTCAAAAAAGAAAAGAAAAAAGAACCCCATGCTTTTTCATAAAGGCAGTGAAGCTGTGAATTTTCTGCTTAGGGAAAAAGTGTGTCTGCTGTCTGATTTTACCAGAAAGCATAAAAATGAAGGAAGAATTTATTATTTGCATGTGCACATGTAGCAGAATGATTATAAAACCCAAAGGACGCTTCTATCTTCCCTCATTTCCCCATCCTCTCCTTGCTACATATATATAGGGAACTTTAAATAGAAAGTCAGACTCTTTCTATGTTCTATCTTTTTCCCTTTTCTTTTCTGTCTTTCCCCCCTCACAAAGGAATATTGAAAAACAATAGTTGAGAAATGCAGGGGAGGGCAGGGCGCAATTTTCTATGGATTCCCTGCAGGGTACACCCCCAAAACAAGCCCATATACCTCTATTTTTATTTTTGTTCTTGTGAAAGCAGTGACAGGAAGTGACATTGCACCACTCCAAATTGCCAATTTAAGAGGGACTTTAGAGAAAAACGGTATTTGGGTGTGTACAGGAGTCTAGGGTGCTTGCAGAAGTTGTGGGGTATTCTGTGTCTTTGCATGCATTTGGTGGGTTTATGCATGATTTAGGAACAAGAAATGGTCTGAACATTGTATGTTTTATAAATATTGGTGGTGGAAAACTTTGGGCAATTCAATTATTAGAGGTGTCAGACTTGTGGCAATCCAAGCTCCAACTTCCAGAATTCTTGGCCATTAGACAAGCTGGCTAGGGCTCCTGGCAGTTGGAGACCCAACTATCTGGAGCACTACAAGTTTGAAATGTCTGATTAGGATGTCCAGGGTTTGCATGTGTTTCACAGATTGCACTATGTCCAGCACTGGTTAGAGCAGTGGTTCTCAACCTTCCCAATGCAACAATCCTTAATACAGTTCCTCATGTTGTGGTGATCCCCAACCATAAAATTATTTTTGTTGCTACTTCGTAACTGTCATTTTCCTACTGTTATGAATCGGAATATAAATATCCGATACGCAGAATGTATTTCCATTCACTAGATGAAATTTGGCACAAATACCCGATACATGAATACTGGTGGGGTGGGGAGGGGATTTATTTTGTCATTTAGGAGTTGTAGTTACTGGGATTTATAGTTCACCTATAATCAGAGCATTCTAAACTCCTCCGACAATGAAATTGAACAAATCTTGGCACACAGAACTCCCATAACCAACAGAAAATACTGTATTTTCCGATGGTCTTTGGTGACTCCTTTGACACCCCCCTTATAATACCCCTGGGAGTCCTGACCCCAGGTTGAGAAACACTGGGTTAAAAGGTGGTAAAGCTTTTTTAAAAAAAGGATCCATTACATGACTGTAGCAAATGGCTGCAGACTATTGAAGTAAAATGTAATAAATTGCATATTTGCTAGAAGAGGCAGATAGTTTCTCCCAAAAGACTGAGTGAGAATGCTGAAATTCTGAACAAATTCAAAGCACACAAATGCTAAGACATAGAACTGTGTGTCTAAAGACAAATACCCATTTAGTGCATCTCTAAATAATTGAAAACACCTACCACTGTATGCTGTTTGGAAGGTAGCAGTGGGACAAGAATGCATAGACTTTTCTGCTCCACACCTTTTGTCAAGCAATGGATATTTTTCATTAAGCTTGTCATTGCTCATTACAGGCTTTATCTTTGAATACAGTATAGTCTCTTAAACTTCCAAATAATCAAGGGATGAAGTAGACAAACTGTCCATTAAGAAAAGTGATGCTGTCCCAGTCAAACATGCTAGAAAATGACACAGAAAAGCACACAAAGCAGCAAAACCCTTCAATGTTCTTTAACTGGTGTCTCCACATTTCTATAGATGAAAATTTTCCTCCTCCTCCTCCTCCTCCTCCTCCTCCTCTTCCTGGTTCCAGAACAGAACTTGCTGGTTTGGTCCTCAGTTTCACTGAAATCCCTTGTTGCACAAATCTCTTAATTGGCCAGAGGAGAGACATTGGGGGAGTACCCAGACCTGGATGCCTAGTTGATGATTTGATCCTCATGTCAAAACTACTTTGTAGTTCCTTTCCAGGCTGATGAAGAACTTGTATAAAGGAGTTCTGCATGAATAGTCACTGTGTATAGTCATGTCACTTCAACACATAATTACCTGGTTTGGAATACGAATTTGAATAGTGTCTTAATGCCTGGAAGCAATATGATTCAGACCTCTGAAATTCTTCTATGACTTGTGAAAAATTGGATTTTGCAGGTGCACAAATAATGTTTCTTAAATTTAAAGAAACAACTCATAGTTATGTCGGATTGCATTATAGAATTTCCCTCCTCTCCATTCTCCCCACTAACCATAGAAACCACCTGAAAATCTGGCTCCTTTTAAACTATACAGTGTCAATATTGCCATGTCAATATCCTATGAAATTCTAGGTTTTGTGGTTTGGTGAGAAACTACTGCTCTCTAACTGAGATTTCACAGTACCATATTTAAACTACAGATCCCAGTATTCCACAAAATGGAACCATGGCAGTTGAAATGGAATCACACTACCATAACTTTTTAGAGTGAAATAACTATATATCTGAGAGCAGGGTTTGTGATCATCCAAAGAGGTTTGGGTGATTTTTGACAGCTGCATTGGGTGGGTAAATTGTCTCCATCTTATGCTGAATTATTCTGGTTGCAAAAAGCAAACTCCAGCACTGAATACAGCCTTATATTCTTTGTTAGTTTGAATGATAGTGTCATTTCACAGTGTACAGTTTTACACCTATGATTCCACTTTAACAATCATGGTTCAATTCTTAGGAATCTTGGGATTTGCAGTTTAGAGACATAATGAATTCTCTACTAGAGAGAGTGTTAGTGCTTCTCAAATTACACAATCCAGGATTCTACAGGATTCCTCTTCAGCAGTCAAATCAGACTCATAGCACTATCAATGTTGTGTGAAAAGAGGCCCAGACCCCAAGTGATGCTGATGCACAAATAAGGAAATGATGAATGATCATGCAGACATTTAGGGACCAACAGACAAGTCTTATGCTGTTCTTGATTTTTATTGGAAACAAGGCCTTGCGTGATGTGCCAGACATCTATTTGTCATTGCTGTAATTATTTGTTTAACTGATTTCAATTTTATAGTGGATTATTTGCTTTTTAACTTTTTATTCTGCTAATTTTAAGAATACTTGCTTTAATTGCTACATGCCACCATGATTCACAGATAGAGAAAGAATCAAATACTTTCAAACTTAAGCAGTATTCAAGTAGTTTGTTCCTGCTGAATGAATTCAAGTAACCATCAGAGAGAGGCCCCTCTTTTTAGTAACAGAACGTCAATTATGAGCATTAACAGAGAGTTTAGCCTAGCCTAACACCATCTTTGTTGTCATATCAGATAAAGCAATTTTTGTTCCTGAATATTTTTAATTTAAAAACGAATTATGATAATAAATGCACCTCAGATTCCATGTTTCAGAAATATTTTTAGTGTTTAATATTTTCAATTTTAATGAAATTTTCATTTTTGTATTTGTTAGGTAAGTTGCCCTGTAAACGTAAGAAATAAATGCAAACTACCTAAGATCTGTAGGAATATAAACTTACATGTAAAGATGGTCTGTTTGGTGATTGCATGGTAATTTATTGGATCTTGATATAAAATAATTCACTACATCTTTTTCTATCACTAGGGTCTTCCTGGACCACCAGGTGAAAAAGGTGAAAATGGTGATGTTGGTCCAATGGTAAGTTCAACTTCACCCAGCCCTCCATACTTAGATACTACTGGATGAATTACTCAAAATGGGACACCTGTCCTTCCATATGAGCATTCGTTTCCCCCTTAGTCAGGAGATTGTCCATTGGTTATAAACTTTCAGAGAAGATAAAATGTTCTTGGGGGGGGGGGGGGGGAGAGGAATTGAAGTTAGTTAAGTAATGAACCAATATTGTCATTTAAGAAATACAAGGACTAATATCAGCATTAGCAGTTGCGTTATAATTGTGATTACATTTTCCATGTACTGGAAGCTCCTAATCTATCTAGTTCTGTCAAACAGTCTATTGCATATTAATAATCTTTATTTATTCATTGATTGTTCTTGATGTTTTTGTGTCATACAGGGTCCCCCTGGTCCCCCTGGTCCAAGAGGTCCCCAAGGTCCAAATGGAGCTGATGTAAGAAACATACCCTTCTTATTATTTTTAAATTTTGTCTATAAACAAGCAACACATGCTCCAACTAAGGTGTTTTATCATCTTAGGGTCCTCAAGGTCCTCCAGGTTCAGTTGGCTCTGTTGGAGGTGTCGGTGAGAAGGTAAGCAAGTCAACTTTGACAACCACAAGCATGTCAACAATATCAGTCATTAGCTTGCTTAAGGTGTAGGAGTGTGTCTGTATTCTACTCAGTGGACTTATTTTTATATCCCAAAATCCATGTCAGTAACTAAGGATTGAAGAGGAAATGCTGGGAATGTATAGCAGGCTGCAATGCAGATTCAGAATTCAAAATAAAGGTAGCAGAGCTTCCATAAGTGATGATAAACATAGAAGGCCCAGAAACTGGTTATTTCTACTGTTCTCATTCTTCAGAGGCTATTCAAGTTTTCAGTGGTACGAACTAGAGTTTGCAAGACAGGGGCAGAGTAAAGACACCGAAGATAAATAGAAAATTCTTCCCAGCAGTATTACTTAGCTGTCAAGCAGGATAGCCTTTTGCTCAGTTATACAGGTTCCCTTTCTCATTGCTCAATTGCTGGCTCTATTTTCTTAGTCCCTCTTATTTTTCATTCTAGCAAGTCAATGTTAATGGCCTGACCCTTCATTTGCACTGAAAGTAAATTATCCATTCTGAAGACCACAATACATTTATTTCCCTGCCTTCTGCCCATTTCCACATAGACATCCAGATGAGAACTAGTGTGGACTTGTTCCTATATAACAACAACAGCAGCAATCATCATCACCACCAGCAGCAGCAGCAGCTTTATTTATATACCACCCTATCTCCCCAAGAGGATTCAGGGTAGTTTCCAACATAAGGCAAAACATTCAATTGCCAGAAGGGAAAAAACCTACAAACAAATTAAAATAAACATAATATCATAAACATAAAATCCTGCTAAAACAAACACAAAAAATTAAAAACCAGTTTCATTATAACTCCATCAGATGGGTTCAAAATACTGTTTAGGAGAATAAATGTACTGTGACACAACAGGTCACCACTTGAAGCCTTTTAGGTGAGCCACTGGGAAATAAGATTTCCTTCTTTGTGGTATCTACTTGGCCTAAATATTGCACAATGCAGACATTCTAGGCAATAAACAGACTATTGGAGAGACCACAGCACTCTTTGTAGAAGGTTCATGGCCATAACTGTATTTAAGGGAAATATCTCTCTATTTAGGCTGCCTTCGAGGAAACTGCTGTCAGTGCACATCTTTTTGTGGCAGTACAAAAATGGTACATTTTCTCCAGCATTAACAGCCTTTAGAGACAAAAATCTTGCAGCAGGTAATAATGTAGATCAGCCACTTCCTTAAAGCCCTTCATTACCCTTATTGTTGTGATACAAACTGAAATGAAGAAAATGCATTGTGAAAGCACTGGAGAAAATGGGACGATTTCTCACCTGTGGATTCCCAGAGCAGCACACAAGACATTTCCCCCAGGTTCCTTTTCTTCCAACATCTTACATGTAGGGATGGAAGATTTCTTCCCATTGCAACTGGAAAAGCTGCAAGTGTTTTGTCTTGGCAATTGTTACTTTTTGTGTTTGCTCACACAGTTATCAGTCATTCTATTTTTAGTTACATTCGCTGCAATAGAGCATGCTTGTCAGGAATATTGCTTTTCTGTCCAGTCTGGGAAACAGGATAGCTGCAGGGAGCTGCTTCAATGAGAACACCTTGCCATTTTAAAATGGCATGGCAAAATCTTTTCAGCACTAGTTTGGCATGTCAAAAAATATTGTCCAGAGGGGGCCAACATTAGTGTGTGTGGGGGGGGGGGAGGGGGCAACTGGGTCAACTCACTGCAAATTCAAGATTATGTACACCATGAATCACTAGCAGTGCTTAAAGGCTGTTGTTGTGCCATGAGAACACTCTCACAACTCATGCAATATGTAAAATTCTTGATATTTTCCTTTATGAAAAATGCCCCCCTGCAAACAATTTCAACACACATATAGGGCCAGTTTGAACGAGGACAAACCTATTTCAGAATCCGGAGTGCATCACATTAACTTTCTGGTTTTAAAAAGGCATGCTCAGGGCTCGAAATAGCCACAGGGGAAAGCGAAAACCTGTAACAAAATCATTCCCCATTCCCCCATTTTGGAATAATTATTGCTCCTTAAGATTCATTAGAGTTGTCAGTGTGCTCCTGGCAAAATATTACCTCTGTCATGTCTTTTCAAAATCCAGCACTCTTAAGATGTGTTAGACCAGGCATGGGCAAACTTGGGCCCTCCAAGTGTTTTGAACTTCAACTCCCACAATTCCTAACAGCCTCAGGCCCCTTCCTTTCCCCGCTCAGTCACTTAAGCGGCTGAGGAGGAAAAGGAAGGGTCCTGAGGCTGTTAGGAATTGTGGGAGTTGAAGTCCAAAACACCTGGATGGTCCAAGTTTGCTCATGCCTGTGTTAGACTGTAAGCTCCATCATCCTCTATCAACATAACAACATGTAATGCTCCAAGGGAAATTACACCCCCTCATCCTGGACCTACCATGCAATTCCTGATTGTCTTAGAATGTGATTGCCTTAGATGTGATTCTCTGTAGTACAAAAATACAGTATCATAGCATTATGACCATGTAACCATCAGTTTCACTGCTGTTCAGGCAGTCCCTGAGTTACAAGCATCCAACTTACAAATGTCACACAGTTAAGAACAGGACTGAGACAACAGGAAGAGAGAGAAATTTACCCCTAGGAAGAAAAATTCACTCGTGAAAGAGTTATAATGGGGGAAAAGTGTCTCCACTGAAACTTTATCACCAGTCTTTGTTTCCACAGCAAGTCATTTTTTTTTCAAAATCCAATTATCTCAGGGAGAGAAAGTGTAGTTAAATCTTCTGAACAAGGACACAGAAAAACAAACACAACAGGGGTGTTAACCCGTCTCTATGCTATCTATCTATCTTTCTATCTATATGAATGGGGATACATTTAAAATACACCTGTTTCAACTTACAAACAAATTCAACTTAAGACCAAACCTACAGACTCTGTCTTGTTTGTAACTTGGGGACTGCCTGTTCTAGAATTAAAACTGGTTTAAAAATTCTGTCATCCTGTCAATATTTCACACAAGTTTCAACTAAACACTCATTGTTCTTATTTGAAACATTTTGCTATTTTCCTTGAAACACTAAGTCAATTAGTAGTCATGAGATATTTTTTGACCAATTATAAGGGGAAAGGAAACCATTACATTTTTCTTTTGGGGGGGGGGAGGAGTTTAGTTGAACAAAATTATACACACACACACACACACCAGCCAATGTAAGCAACAATATAAGCAAAAAGAATATTAGGAATATGGAACACATCTAGATTTTTAATTATCATTTCCCAAAAACTTGAGCAACAATTTGCATTTCAGTGTTATCACATTTGCCAGATTTTTACTTTTATTCCTGTTATTGGAGCAGAAGGAAATTCTCTGAAACATTCCAAAGCGCAGTGGACTCCGGTAGTACCGTGGTTTAAGCAAATAAAAGCACCACAGTGTCAAAAGCTAATCAAGCTTTACATTGAAAAATGGCCTCATAGTATAATATAAATAATGGCAAAGTGATAGACTGAATGCACTTTAGTGCTACTAGAAGTATACCTGATTAAAATTATTTTAAAAACTGACAGACATAATGTAGCATGAACTTTTTAAGTTCATCACGTACCTGTGAGTTTGTACCTGAAATTTTGAATAGCATTCCATATTTCTTATGAAATAGGCCACGGTTTGAAAATACATACAATGACATTTTAATTTTTTTAAATGTTGCCTGTCAGCCTTAGGTCCCTTAGTGACCTGAGTAATGATATTGAATCATTCAATTGATCATATGGCTGTCCTTTTGGAACCTTGTTGCAATTCTGCCATCATAATTTCATTATTTTTTGTAAATGTTCACAAGTAAGTGGTTACTTAAACCGTGGAGCTTTGTTTGCTTGGTGTGAAGGTTCGACACAACAAGACAAACAAGACAGCTTTGGATTCTGACCTAGCGGTTAACTAAAAAAAGTGGGACCTCTTGAACTTTCCTCTTTGCACTCCACACAGTTGAAGTCCTCTCTAAATTATTTTTCTTCTTAAGTATACAGAGTCCTTTCCATATCCTTTTAATGCACTACTACACAGCTCCTATCCCTCCAGGTACAGATCTGTCAAAGCTCTGTATTCAGAAACATTGTCTGAAGTCACAGGTCAGTCAAAATAATTTGGATTTGTCACGGAGCACTTCTTAATCACTCTCAGAAATGGAGGCAGTTGGGTGTCACAGAGCCCTCAGGTGCTTTACTTTTTTCTACAAGTGAAGATGCATCTGCTTATTTTGGATGCCTGTCTTTTTTATTTCCTTTTTTTCAATCCAGTAAAATAACCTGTGATTCACCTTATCATACCCAATGTCATCCTTTCTTCTTACAGTCTTTTTAATGATATGTTCGACTAGTGTTGACATCTGTCACAAAACTTTGGTTCAGAGTTACTTTCCATTCTCTCCCCCCATTATTTGTATAGATTCCCTCCAGGGAAAACTTCTCTTCTATTAGCATCATGTCAAAACAAATCAGAGATTCTGAACCAATGTGTCCAAACTATTCTCTTAATAGAATCACTCCCAATGCTTCATCATTTTCCTACTTACCTGTTAGAATAAATCACTTACTGATCAATACTGAGGTTCAGAGATGAGCCGTGCAGAAACCATAAATATATCATGATAGCTTTATGGAAGACAGCCATCTTTTTTCCTATTCTGAGAAAAATTGATTGTGAGCTAATTATAGTAGATGTCATCATATCAAATCATCAAACTTTGCAACTAAACTTTATTAATAAGTAGTGATATTGTCCCATTCAGAGGCATTGGATAACACAATTCTATATAGCAAAGAATACTCAAGAGGATACTGGCTTGTGAATTAGGCCCACAAACTTATCACAAACAACTATCCCTACTCCTAGTTCAATGCACACACAAAGCAACCCACAATAGCAAAACAAACTTTGCTTTGGGAGATGAGGAGTGGGAAAAAACACTAAGGTTTCTTCAGGAATTCTTGAGAAGACCACAAAGCTTCTAAGAAAGTCTAGAAAAAACAAATTGAATAATTATGAGAGATGATGGAGGGCCTATGTATAGGGTCATGGAACTTACCTATCACAACAAACACATGATATAAGTTTTAGAATATATGCAAAAATACAGTGGATTGTGTTTTTCCTCATCTGAGCTGCCACACAATTTAGAGTCAAAAATTGTTCAGTCTGGAATTCCTCACACCATGAAAATACATAATATTTCTGCTTCTCGCCTCCATTTTTGGAACATACTTTTGTGAAAGCATGGTTTGCCCTAAAGTTCCCCCAGGCTTGTACTGCATCCTAGATAATACAATTTGCAGTCCATTGTAAAGAAGTGGAAGAACATTTGTCATTTTTCCAGGCACTGTGTCTGACTAATGTTGACTGAGTGAGTTTGAAAAACTATGTGGCTCAGTGGAAACAAAATATTCAGTCATTGAAAGTAATGTTTAAAGTCCTTTTAAATATGTATAAGCCAACTTCAGACCTTGATGTGTTCTGGTGATTGTATTTTAACTACCATATGTACTCATGTATAAGTATAAATAAGTATAAATCAAGGGCATGTTTGGGGGACAAAATTATGTATTTTTTTTTTACTCATGGATAAGTAAAGGTCAAAACTTAGGGATATGTAACAAATCTTTTCCTCTCCTTTTAGAAATGCATAGAGTGAGCATATTTATGCAGAAGTAAAGGAGAAGGTCTCTTTATTTGAGAAGTTATGATGAAGAGGAGTGTAAATTACATTGCTAATCTTAAAATGTTTACAATTATACAAATACAGGCTCAGTACAAAGGCAATGATAAGAGGTAGATGAGAGAAGTTCTCACCCCATTACCTCTCTTTTGCCCAAACTCAAAGAATAGAAAGCAGTCCTCCCATATTCCTCCTTCCTCACCTTCTCCCCACTTTCTGAGCAGCGTTCAGAAATAACATGAGGGAACCTGAAGAATGTGGTATACCTTGAGGTAAAGTGGAAATAGGGTAGTCATTTTTAATAGGTGCACACAGGTTTGTATAGTAAGTTTCTATTAAAAATGGCCATCACAGTTTCTTTGCAAAGCCGTTATTAAAAATGGCCACTACCTTTCCACTCTGCCTCAAGTGCCCAAAATGGTGACTGCATCAAATTCTCCAGGCTCCCTCATATTGCTATTGGACACAACTTGAGTGAGGGGAAAAGTGAGGAAGAAAATAGGAATGCCTTTCTTTCTCTAGTTCGGGCAGAACCCCCAGTGGCACAATGGCTTAAATCCTTGTGCCAGCAGGACTGAAGACCAACAGGTCAGAGGTTCGAATCTGGGGAGAGTGCAGATGAGCTCCCTCTGCCAGCTCCAGCTCTCCATGTGGGGACATGAGAGAAGACTCCCACAAGGATAATAAAACATCAAAACATCTGGGCATCTCTTGGGCAACATCCTTGCAAAAGGCCAATTCTCTCACGCCAGAAGAGACTTGCAGTTTCTCAAGTTGCTGCTGACATGGAAAAACTCTTGTTTGGTCAAGTGATGGGAACTTCTTGCCTGTGCCTCTTGTCATAGCCTTCATGTCTGCTCCCTGTTCCAGCACTGAGTCACATATAAGATGACCCAGGTTTTAAGATTGGTTTTTTTGTCATTGCTTTATTTATTTATTTATTTATTTACAGTATTTCTATACCGCTTTTCTCACCCCTAGCGGGACTCAAAACATTTTACACATAACTGACAAAACTTCAATGTTATATATTGGACACTGACGCAATGCCAAACCATAACAACCACAATAATAAAACCACAATTAAACATAAATCATAATTAGACAGTACATATGCAATCATTAAAACAATAAATAATTAAAACAATCTCGCCAGTCGTATTGTCATTCTAGTCCATGTCCTTTAAATTCTACAAACATCTACTGTCCGAAGGCCTGATCCCAAAGCCATGATTTTAATTTCTTTCTAAAAGCCATATGTACACAACTATTGTATATATTGGAATGTGTTGTCATCTTCTGTTATGTATGTTGTTGTATATACCAAAGCATTAAAAGGCAGCTACTATAAAAAATATATGTGGATTGCCAAATGATTAATGCTTCCACACTCCATAAGTGCAAGAACTCTATAAAGAGTCTCCATTGCACTTAATCATAAACCGCTTGAAACAAACTATTCCCCCAAATACACTCTTTTAGAGCAGTGTTTGAAATTAAAGCAGTGGGTAGGAGGAAGAAAGGAAGGACAGTTTTAAGCTAGTGAGGAGAAGCTCTTGTTCAATATATGAAATGTGAGAAGGAATGGTAACCATGGGTGCAAGCTAACACATGACTGAATTAGTGGTGCTCTTATTTTACCTGATCATATAAATCTATTTTCTTTGTCCACTTCCAAATTGAAGCTGAAGAGGCCTCTTTGATGAGTTGACCCACAAATCAGTAGTGTATCCAGAGTTCAGAAGTAGCCCTGACAATGCCCCATCTCACCATGATTCCCTATCACAATCATTTCATCTATTTTGCAATAAATAGAGCACCAAGAGAGGATGAACTCAATTTATGGATTCATATGGAAACATCATCTATTCATATTGTTTAAGAGTGTTATTTCAATAATAAGTCCATGTCTTTGTCTTGGTTGACCAGTGATTTACATGATATAATAAAATAATTAGGTAGGACTCTTAAAATGCTGGCTTTTGTCTATTTCACTGTTGATTAAAGTCTCATGTTGAAATGGTAATACAAGTAAAAATAAACAAATTCCATGACCCCTTCTTTAGTCCCAAATACTTTTGTCCTTCATTGGACAGGAACAGTTGTGATATATGTGCCCCTCAGGATGCTGTTGGACTACAGGTCCCATAAATCATAACCAGCATGGCCATTGGTGAGGGATGATAGAAAAATACAGTGCAACAATGTCTGCAGCCTGGCTATGCTTTAAGATTAGATATTTTCCATATGTTACTGTAGTTTCTTCTCAACATATGTGTAGTATGCACAAATACCAATAAGTTGTGCATATTTTCATCAATATAAGGGTTATTTTTCTTACGAATATATTCTGTTTTGTTGCCTAATACAATATTTTCAAACTTTTACTTCATTCGGAAAGTGCCAAACAGCAGAATCAAACAAGATATGATTTTAAAAGTGGATTTATACTTCCATACAGCCCAATGTCTTTAGCAGAATCCTTAATAACTATTTCACTTTCCTGATAGATTTTTCATGAACATGATCAATGTCCCTATTGCAGCCAATTTTCCTATTCAGTAAAATGCAGTCTTACTACTACCCTATCATTTGGATAGAATACGTCCAGATTTTGAAATTATACTTTCAAATTTTCACGTCCCCTGCCAGATTTCCTCCCAATTGTGCACTTTTTGGATATGTTTTTTGCACAACTCCCCCCCTCCCAAAAAAACCCTCAGAAAATGCAAAAAATATTGGAAAAATATCAAAAAATGCATATTCCTCCAAACAGGAAGAAGCATTTTGAAATTCCTCATTCTTTCATACAACTACAAAAATATGAAACTTTGGATTCCCTATTACTGACCTATTGAATGAATAAACTAGGCAAATGTTCAAACAGAGATTGGAAATTTTTAGTGATCTTGTGAATGTGCCAGTGCCATGTAATTAAAGAAAATTGATTTTTACATCAAAATTATAGAACTGATTTTAATATATTAAAATTTATAAAAGTAATAATGAAAAAGATCAAGAATGAATTAAAATGAAAAGAATAATTAAAACTGCTGCCAATTATTAAAATAAAAATTTTAAAAGCATAATTGATGGTAGTAGATTAGGGATAAACATTGAATGTTCAATAACTTAGTTTTGGGCTCAGTGTTTGAGCCATGAGTAGTGGCAATTGTGTTTATCACAGCTCCCAAAAATCAGATTATAGCAAATTAAGCTACACTTCATGGGGACCAATGTGGCAGTGTACATAGTACTGACAATGTATTCAGCCACACCAACATTACCAACCAAGGCAAAATTATCAGATACCAGAAAGAATGTTCACAAATAGCAAGAAAGCTCATAAATACCAAGCTAATTTCAAAACAAACTGAGCAGAGCTCATCCGTCATTCCTCATTACCGAAATGATATATTCAGATTTTGTGGGATTCAGAGCTGAAGAGAAGAATAAATTAACTTAAGCATTTATTTCATACTGTTTAAATTTTGCTTTCGCGGAGAATTTTTATGGATGTCTTGCTAGCCATCTGGTTTACTAAAGAGCTATCATCACCAATAAATAGTGCAGTGTTTGCTTTTGAGACCTGCAATGAAGATTTTATTATTTGTTAGCATATTATTTCATTTACTGTCATTCTGTTTATTTATGATTACTTTCCTAGTTTGAGCACCTAACATCATTTTCAATTAAACTAAATCACTTTAAAGTAGTTTTCTATTAGCATTTTCTAATTTGCAGGGATGTACTTCTAGACTAAAAAAGAAAACAAAACAAAATTCTGTTTGAAGAAAGTTCAAGCAAAAAATGTTTTATTTTTCTCTCATAAGAAAGATGGAAGTAAAAAAAATCCTTTAATTTGTCTTCTTCTAGGGTGAACCTGGTGAAGCTGGTAACCCTGGACCTCCTGGAGAAGCTGGCACAGGTGTAAGTATCAGTTCTGCAAATACAATGGTAAAAGACCTAGGATATTTATATGTCCTGTTTTATTCTTTTGTGTCAAGAATCAGGACTGTTGATGATGGGGCAGCTGGGTCCCCACAAGCCCAAGCCTTCTCTTCTCAGATCCTTGGGTAACCTTGGCCCTTTTCCCAACCCTACAATGTTGTTCACCAATTCCACCCATGAATGGGCCCTTATAGTGTGAATACTTTCAACCACACAATTTTGTTGCTATTGAAATGCAAGCTGATTGGTTGTTAGGCCCATGGCTTTTCAAAGCAAATGTCTGGACACTCAGTTTTATGTGCTGTTGATTTTCCTTATATTATTTTGTTGTGTGTATTTTTTTACAAATCTTTATTCTGCCACAGTTCCTAGGTTCTCATTAGCTGTCTGCTTGCCAGCCTACTAGCTGGCTTTTTAATCCATTGGATTTTCTAGCTTGTTGACTTGAAATGAGGGTTGGGTCTACACAGACAGTTTAATCCAGTTCAATGCTATCTTTGAGATTGGGGCATCCACAAAATACACACTCCCAATGTGTCCTGAAGCATGGTTAGCTGGAAGGTTAAGATGAAAAAAAACCCCCTCATTTTCTGGATATTGCGTTTCCTGAGTTCTATTCTGATTTTAAGTCAGAAAATCAGTTCTTAGTGGGTTATATTGTCTATGGTTGATTCATGAATCTAGATCTCTTTCACTCTATACCATTGTAGCACATTGCTACCAGGCGCATCCTATGGAACACTTAGATCTGTTGGTTGGTGAAACATTTGAGCCAGGCATGTAGCGGGGGGGGGGGGGGGGGGGGGGTTCGTGAAAAGGCCTTACTGGTGCATTATTTAAACTGTTATGTTTATTCATATCATGATCTGATCACCATACTCAATATATCCCATATGCATGGGGGTATTGGGGTAATGATACAAAAGGTTTGCTAGGGTAGACCCTCTTTCACTCAGACTCAACCCCCCCGAAACCCCCCTGAAACCCCCCCTGAAAAAAATTAACCCCCCCCCCCGAAACGAAATCCTGGCTACGGGCCTGATTTGATCTATTTGACAGAGAATTGTAACTCCATTATTTAAAAAAACTACAAATCCCACAGTTCCCTAGGACAACGTCATTACAACTAATGTGGTATCAAAGAACTCTGAGATTATATATATATATATATATATATATATATATATATATATGCCTGATCCTGGTTTACTTGACTGAGATTTCTTTCTGCTATGACTTGAACATACACAGCAGCCATTTATTGTACTTGACCGAAGCTCTGCAAAGGAGTTCTAATAGCATACCTTTTGCCAAATGCCTCCCTGTCATTATTTTTCAATATGGACTTTAGTGCTCTTGTGTTTAATTTCACTAAAATTCCATTTACTTAGCATGAGCTGTATTATTAATCATTTACTTTCGAATTGTATTACAAACTTGCTTATAATTGGGTGTATCTCCTCCAAAACACACAATTAGCTAACCGATTCTGATGCGGATCTTCTAGAATTCAACAGATTGTTTTTCACTATGCATTTGCTACCAAAAAAATTCCAATAGTAAATAAAATCTAACTAAAAGTTGTTCATAGGTTCTCACCTGAAATTCTGTCTGTTGTTTAGGGTCCAAAAGGAGAAAGAGGTGAAAAAGGTGAGGCTGGACCACCAGGTGCAGCTGGACCCCCTGGTATTAAAGGACCTCCAGGAGATGATGGACCTAAAGGAAATCCGGTAAATGAACCTACTAAAAACATTATATAAGGCTATTGATTTAATGTGCAGTAGTCCCATTCCACAGGTTCATTCTTTTTAACATTTTCTTGAGAGATTTATTTATTTACACAATGTGTATCTTAACCAAATTTTATCTATTTCAAGTTACCTACATCTGTCATTCGTGAACAATATGAGCTTTATCTTACTGTCTTTTTGTTTAGGGCCCTGTTGGCTTTCCTGGTGACCCTGGTCCTCCCGGTGAACCTGGTCCAGCTGTAAGTATCTTTTTAAAAAGGTAAAAAAGTATATATCTATTTTCATGGCCAAGAAATACTCTGATTACATCAGACTATTGCAGAAACAGCAAGGGTGACAGCTTTCCAAGGAGCACCTACTTCTTTTTATAAACCTTACTGTGTCTTGCAAATAACCCAATTGGTCATCACTCTGATGCCATGTGGAGTCAAACTAACCTGAAAATCTTGTAGGGATGAAAGCAAAATGACTTTAATTACTCTATTAAAGCCGCATTAAGTTCAATTGTCAGATTATGTTTCCTCCTTCCATCCAACTTGCCAAATGCTGTATCACTTTCACACTCTGAAACAGCATCTAAAACCTTTCTTTCTGTTGTTTTCTTTCTTTCATCCTTTCACCTTAGAATATACTTCCAATCTTATTTGTTTCATGCACTCATTTTATTCTCCTTTATTTTAAATAACAGGCAGCTAGAGAATGGAGCAGAACTGTTATGCTCCCATTTTTCTCAACAGCAAACCACAGTGTGGTTGATATTTTTGGCCACACTCTTTTAACTTTCCTCCTGCCCACCACATCATTGGAATACACCTGCACATCCCAAGAACCTCTTTGAAATTGACTTCACTTGTCAGCTGAAAGAAGTTTTTCACCTATATTTAACAGCTTGTAGCTTTTCTCTGCAACATGTTATTAGCAATCCGGAGGCTGACAAAAAGAAAAAGATTGGCTCAAGGTCACCTAGTGCTTTTGGTGGGTGAGAGGAGATTTGAAACAGATTCTAGTCCCAAATCCCAGTCCAGTCCTATAAAGACTCTATCACACCTACACTTTTGTACAAAGTGAACTCTGTAAACCCTTTATTTCTTTTTTTTTCTTTTATTTGCTTTCCCTTCCCTAGGGGACTGATGGTACAGGAGGAGAAAAAGGTGAAGACGGTGACCCAGGCCAACCTGTAAGTTGAGTTTCTATGATTTTTCTCTGTAATAATGCGCCCACATCTTCATTGATAAGGTGAATGTCTACAGGAAAACCAAGTGCTCCTTTACTTCTCACTTCAAAGAATGCTTTAGATATAGTCTGCTTTAAAACATTACAAGATTCTTTTCTGAATCATATAAGTATCCAAGAGCACACTTTTTCCTAACATTGTCGCATTTTCTAATATTAATACTTTATTTATAACCCACCTTCTCTCCCCGAAGGAACTCAGGGCTGTTTCCAAAGTATAACAAAAATGACAAACAAACAACAACCAAAACATAATATGAAATAAAAGACCAGACTTAACCAAGGATAAACCAAATAAACATAACATAACACAAAGGGTCAGACCAATTAAAACACAATACATTAGAAGCATAATATAAAATAATAATATAAAATATTCTCAGGTTTTAACTTTTTCCTCACTGTGGGGTGAGGAACATGGATGAATAAGCATCAGAATAAGTAATTCATTCTGTTGTATTTTCCCTCAATCTTTCTGAGAGTGTGCCACTCTAAGTCCCCTTCAGGGTTGAGAAGGACAGGATATAAATATGACAAATAAATAAATATTTTGTTACTTCCAAGTTCAGGCTTGCTTGGTGTTGATGCTTTAGTGCAATTATTTAGTGAATATACAATAAACAAGAACTTTGCAGAAAGTCATATGTAATATGAAACAACATGGAACAACATGGGGTCCAATCAAGCTACAAAATTACTATGTTAATTATTATTCCATTTTATCTGTCATAACTCCACCATATGGAATAATGTAGGTCTGTAGTTTGGTGATTTAATACAGGAGTTCTTTAGCTAAGCACTGTCCATCCAAGATACCATAGGAAAGAACTATGGCAATTAAAGTTGCACAATAGTTATGTAATTCTGCAGTGTGGAAGGGCCCCAATTCACTTTCTAGTGGTCAGTTGAAAATTTCTAGACATACATGAGGAAAATTGAGGGGTGGGAAAACACTTGAAGGGAGTGTGTTGCTTAATTTGAAATATGTAAGTTCTAAACTAAAAGTAACTTGGGGATGTATATTGTATGAGTATTCATAAACATACAATCCACAATAATACCAATCTGTTGTTGATTGGCTGATTGCTTTGAAAACTTCTACTTAGCTTTAGTATTATATTGGTTTATCACGATATGTGATTTAAGTCCCATGCCATCTTGCCATCTCAAAAAGTCTCTTCTGAATCATCTGAGATGGTTTTTCATGGATTCACATTTGGTGCTTAGTGTTCTGCATGGCACAGTAGAGAAGTTGCTAAATATTTAAGGATGGCTGCAGGAGATACACAGGAGCAAAGGTTCTAATTAGCTTAGCTGACCCCATACATATAGACAATAAAAAGGGTGTGACCTCTTTTGGTGATTTTCCCTCAAAATGGAGGCACACACAATTTACTTCTGTGACCATCTTGAAAACCACAGGTCAAGCACACTTGAAGTTGTTGCCTTTGAAAACTTGTTACCAGTACAATAATATCTGTTTTTCAGAATAATGGTCATAATAACATGTATGGTTTTTTTTCTCTTTAGGGTCCACCAGGACCATCAGGAGAAGCTGGCCCCCCTGGACCACCTGGAAAGAGAGTAAGTTATATTATCTGCAATTCTCACCACTTCAGCTGGCAATTGATCTCAATATTATTTCCTTGTATGTATTTTAAGACATGATTGGGGTGAGATACCACTAAAACCAGGTAAGGTGTTGATGCAGTTTCATTATTGTTCTGCACTTCCATGTGAATGTTGCATCTTATGGCAAGGCCATGCTAGGATATTCTTAGTAATGCATATTTGAATAAGGCTTGCTATTTATTTCCCCTTAAAAGAGTGTGATTTGTCCAAGTCCATCTAGGGCAGTGGTTCCCAACCTGTGGGTCACCAATACTTTGACCTTCACCTCCCAGAAATCCCAACAACTGGTAAACTGACTGGGATTTTTGGGAGTTGTAGGCCAAAACACCTAGGGACCCACAGGTTGAAAACCACTGATCCAGTAGGTTTTCTTGGTTGAGTGGGAATTTGAAGCCTCCTACCTTGGAGTTACAGTCCAGTACTCAAAACCACAGTACCATTAGCTCAATACTTTTGCTCTAGTCACTATAATTTGTATTGATTAAAATATATGTAAATAAAGGGAAACCTTATGTAAAAAATACACTTTCCCATCATCTATTATTAAAATTAGAATTCTGTACTCATTCCCCATTGACTCAGTAAGACTATGTACATGTAAATATGCACTGTTTTGTTTGTTCCAGCTGTTTCTGACTTATGGTTATCATATCATGGGGTTTTCTTTGTTCAGAGTAGGGCTTCCTTTCCTAGGAGGCTGAGAGAGTATAACTTGTCAAAGGGGTTACCCAGAGGGTTTGCAGGACAGAGCAGGGATTTGAACCCTATTTTCCAGAGTCCTACTGCAATGTTCAAACTTATTATCCATGTTGGCTTTCATAAATATGCATGCAAAAGTCTTAAGTTTCTTCTCTATCAATGTGTCTTGAGTTTATAACAACTAGGAACCATTTGATTCTAATGGCGCTCCACCATTTACTGCACACCAAGACATTTGTCAAACACGGCTAGAAATTGAGGGTAGGGAAAGTATGACCCATACATGATAAATAGACATTTGGGTCCATCTTTTTTGGGCTCAGAGCCACTCAGGCACAAAGCAATTCTAAAGCTTGCAGAATCGATCTTAATACTAAAATGATAATGTTGAATAACTTCTGGCCTCAAAATACCATAGAGTCATGTTGAAGGACTTAAAAATGCCTGGAGAGAACATATTTTGGGTTGTTGTAGGTTTTTCGGGTTGTATGGCCATGTTCTAGAAGCATTCCCTCCTGATGTTTCACCTGCATCTATGGTTGTGACCTCACAACCTCTGAGGATGCCTGCCATAGATGCAGGCAAAATATCAGGAGGGAATGCTTCTAGAACATGGCCATACAGCCCAAAAAATCTACAACAACCCAGTGATTCTGGCCTTGAAAGCCTTTGACAATACCAGTTCCATGCTTATGGGAAGCATACTGTACCCAATGGAATCATCATTTATATATAAGACAGAATCTATAAGGTAATGTGGTGTTGTTCTTACAATTTCAATTCCCAACCCTTTAAATATTTTACAAAATGCTTGTAAATACAAATGGAGCATCAATTGCGGACAGAAGTATATCAGATCACACTCATAGACACCTGGGACCTCTATGAGAATAAATGCACTTAAGTTAAGTTCATCAGCCTATCTGAGTTATAGATCACAAAGTTTGTGATAATGACCAATTATTCAATGTTAGAACAGCATTGGAATTCCTATAATACATGCTGAGTGCATTATATAATGAGCACATGGTGGTTTTATATTTTAAGCAATCCTAGCACAGATGTATTATTTAGCTCTTCATTCTCCACCATTTTTTCTTTTACTGAAACTTCTATAAAATAAAGAAGCAGTCACCCATTAGCACATGCTAATCGATTTAAACTAGAGCAGCAGTCTTTGATCCATTTAATTGGCATAGTAATCAACTAAAGAGTTAGTTGATTAATAAGTGAAGAACAATTTTAATTGGTAGGCCCTTGTCTTGAGGGCACACCAGTTTATATACGGAGGCTATTATGGTTCTGGTGTGTTATTGCAACAGGGAGCAAAAACTAAAATATTAATGATTGCCCTTTTTTTAACACTGATTATATGATTTCATACACATCCTTTAAAAATCTGGAAATAGGAAATTTGAGTCCTTAACCATTTTATTTAAACTTACTCTGCTAGTTAAAAGGTCATGGATGAGTTAAATGTATTGGTTTACAGTTTAGGTAAAGGTTTCCCCTGGCATTGTCTAGTCATGTCTGACTCTGGGGGGTGGTGCTCATCTAAGCCTCAGAGCTGGCATTGTCCATAGACACCTCCAAGATCATGTGGCCAGCATAACTGCATGGACCACTGTTACTTTCCCACAGAAGCGGTACCTATTGATCTACTCACACTTGCATGTTTTCAAATTGCTAGGTTGGCAGAAGCTGGAGCTAACACTCAGCTCCTCCCCAGATTTGAACTGCCAACCTTTTGATCAGCAAGTTCAGCAGCTCAATGGTATAACCTTCTACGTCACCGGGGGGGGGGGGGGGGGGGGGGGGGGGGGAGAGTTTAGAGCCATTTTAAAGATGAATTTTATATTTAAGAAACAACGAAACATGTTCAGTGTCCTTTATGTTTGGTTTGTAAGCTTGCTTGTGTCTGCTAGTTATACAGTTATTGAACTTCTACTGGGTTCTGGAGTGAGTTGAGATCAAATAAGTGAATTTACTATATTTTCCCATCTGGCCTTTTTCCTTAAATAGCCCCACTTGGCTAGATTGATTGTCGCACAGTCAGACTCTTGTAATCAGCTGCTTGTAAATACTAGCTTCTAAGATGAATATATCTTGGAATTAACTGTAGAGTCCCCACCTATTTACCTCCTAGAAGGAGAATATTGTGTGCAAGATTTGTTTAGATTTTGTATTGTATCATATTTTGGACATGTTAGTGAATATTTAATGGGTAGGTTGCACAAAATATAATTTAGGGGCAAAAGTGTCAAATTTGTGTGTGTGTGTGCTGGAATGGGGAAAAATATGGCAGCTCATCCTCTTTCCCCAGCCCCATGAGATATGTTGATTCACTGTTTTGAGGAAATTGTTTATAGTGCTAGCTAAGAAAACACTTTGGAGCAATAAGGTGTACATAAGTGTTAACTCACTATTCAGTGTAACTGGCTCAGACCATAGAATGCAGGCCTAAGAATCAAAGTATCTGGAAGTTTCATCATTTAATCTCAAAAGCTTCCTCACCAAAGCTGAAAAGACCTTCCAAATGTACATGCTATCTTAGATAACAGTCTGGCATTAACAAGTTCAAGGATTACAGTGTTCTCAAGAAATAATATATTATCCTTCCTGGCATCAAGCAGTTCTAGACCTTTCAATCTAATATCACTCATGCAATGAAAGTGATTCCTCCCAAACCTGTTCCAAGCTTAATTATAGTGTCAGTCTAGATGGGGTATTAGGACATTTTTTTGATGTCAGGAGGGACTTGAGAAACTACAAGTCACTTCTAGTGTGAGAGAATTAGCCATCTGCAAGGATGTTGCCCAGATGTTTTGTTGTTTTTCCATGCTTGGAGAGCTGGAACTGACAGAGGGAGCTTATTCTGCTCTCCCCGGATTGGAACCACTGACCTATACTTCAGCAGTCCTGCCAGCACAAGGGTTTAACCATTATGCCACTGGGCAAATGATTCCAGATGGGAAGGACACAGCAAGGAAGGGAAGTGGTTTGCAGTTTAATAATAATAATAATAATAATAATAATAATAATAATAATAATAATAATCTTTATTTATACCCTGCTACCATCTCCCCAATGGGGACTCAGCGCAGCTCACATGGGGCCAAGCCCAGAAATGCATTACAACAAAATAAAACCCAAAACACAAAATAAACATCACAATAAAATAAATAAAACGTAAGAGTACAATACAATAATGCAAAATACAAAAATAGATAAATCACAATCACAGTGAGCAGGCCACGTGTACATGGTAAGACGATAAAACTCGGGATGAGATAGAAATAAAATGCAAATAATTGTAAAGGAGGAACTCATTTAAAAAAGGAGTAATGGAGACAGTAGGGATTGCAGGTTAAGTAAATGAAGACCAACAAACCAGTTGGGGGATATTCTCCACCTCATTTGCAATTTGAATGTGACAGTGTACATTTTGAATCAGATTAGTCATGTCATTTTTAGTTTGGCAAGAAATCACAGCAGTACTGATGGTGAGTTTCTACACATCACTAGCTTTTGTTGCATTGCGTAGACAATACATTAGTCCTTTTTGGATAAAAAAGTGGAGCCTCATTCCCAAGTAAAATCAGGATGTAACAAGGTAATGTTTTGTGCCAAATAAAAAGTAATAACTTCAGAAAAACAACTACATTTTAGTAACATCGGAAAAGTTGATAGGCCTATAATTATCCCACTATCATTAGTCTTTGAAGCAGTACAGATATACACTCTGAATAATTTTTGCAGATGTGTGAACAGCTAAGTATTCTCTGTCAAGCAATTAGTTTAATTCTTAACAGTCCCCCCCCAAAGAAAACCCCACTGAATGTAAGCCATAATCTATTTCACAAAATGAGATAAACTATTCTCTATAATAGGCTTGGGTGAGCAGACATGCTTAATTAGTTTTATCAATTTTACACAATAATCTATTTGTTCCACCAACTTACTGCACATTTATAATGCTGAAAACAATTACAGTGGTATTAGTAATCTTTTCACTGGGGCTAGAATAGAACTCAGTTGAAATGTTAACAATAAATGTATTTGTTAGAGTTGTGACCAATTGTACTTTTTCAAATATATGGAATATAGAGAGTAAAATAGGGCATATATATCTGCCACTGATACATGGGATGCTTCCACTCATTTTTCACTAGCCATAGATCTAGGCAGACCACATAAGGGAAAAATGACTAGTTATTTATTTCTGATTTCCCCCATAATGCTATTTGAATCCA